AGTCAACATGGATTCATCAAGGGCAATTCATGCCTGACCAACCTGATTGCCTTCTATGATGAGATAACTGGCTCTGTGGATATGGGGAAAGCAGTGGACGTGATATATCTTGACTTTAGCAAAGCTTTTGATACAGTCTCCGACAGTATCCTTGCCAGCAAGTTAAAAAAGTATGGATTGGATGAATGGACTATAAGGCTCAATATCTAGTTGGCAGCCGGTATCAAGCGGCGTGCCCCAGGGGTTGGTCCTGGGACTGGTTTTGTTAAACATCTTCATTAATGACCTGGATGATGGGATGGATTGCATCCTCAGCAAGTTCACGGGTGACACTAAGCTGGGGGAGAGGTAGATATGCTGGAGGGTAGGGATAGGATCCAGAGTGACCTAGACAATTTGGAGGATTGGGCCAAAAGAAATCTGATGAGGTTCAACAAGGACAAGTGCAGAGTCCTGCACTTAGGAAGGAAGAATCCCATGCACCACTACAGGCTGGGGACTGACTGGCTAAGCGGCAGTTCTGCAGAAAAGGACCTGGGGATTACAGTGGATGAGAAGCTGGATAAGAGTCAGCAGTGTGCCCTTGTTGCCAGGAAGGCTAACAGCATATTGGGCTGCATTAGTAGGAGCACTGCCAGCAGATCAAGGGAAGTGATGTTTCCCCTCTATTCGACATTGGTGAGGCCTCATCTGGAGTACTGTGTCCAGTTTGGGGCCCCATACTACAAGAAGGATGTGGAAAAATTGGAAAGAGTCCAGCGGAGGGCAACAAAAATGATTAGGGGGCTGGAGCACATGACCTATGAGGAGAGGCTGAGGGAACTGGGATTGTTTAGTCTGCAGAAGAGAAGAATGAGGGGGGATTTGATAGCAGCCTTCAGCTACCTGAAGGGGGGTTCCAAAGAGGATGGAGCTCGGCTGTTCTCAGTGGTGGCAGATGACAGAACAAGGAGCAATGGTCTCAAGTTGCAGTGGGGGAGGTCTAGGTTGGATATTAGGAAACACTATTTCACTAGGAGGGTGGTGAAGCACTGGAATGGGTTACCTAGGGAGGTGGTGGAATCTCCTTCCTTAGAGGTCTTTAAGGCCTGGCTTGACAATGACATGCTGGAGCCTCCACATTTATTTGACAAATAAAATTTGCAGAATTTTAAAATATTGTGCGCAGAATTTTTATTTTTTTGTCGCAGAAGTTTTAATTTTTTGGTGCAGAATGCCCTCAGGATCTCTCTCATTAGATGTACGGCTCAGCCTAGGTAAACTACAAAGGGTGCGTCCTCTAGTTATTAGGCCAAGTCTACACTATAAAATGTATATTGGTGTAACTACATCGCTCATAATGGGGGACTTCTGTTGGGAAAATAACACAGCAGGGCACAGATTATGCAACAAATTGTTGGAATGCAAATTTGGAGACAACTTTTTACTGGAGAAGGAGGAGAAAGCAACAAGGGGAGAGGTTGTTCTAGATTTGATTCTGACAAATAGGGAGTAACTAGGAGAGATTTTGAAGGTGGAAGGCAGCTTGGGGGAAAATGATTATGAAATGATAAAGTTCATTATTCTAAGGAATTGTCAGAGGGAAAAGAGCAGAATAAAGTCAATGGACTTCAAGAAGGGAGAGTTCAGCAAATTCGGAGAATTGGTAGGTAAGATCTCATGGGAAGCAAGTCTAAGGGAAAAAAGCGTTGGCAGTTTTTTAGAGAGACATTATTAAGGGCACAAGAGCAAACTATCCCAATGAGTAGAAAAGATAGGAAGTATGGTAAGAGACCACCCTAGTTTAACCATGAGATCTTCAACAACCTGAAAATCAAAAAAGAGGCCCTTAAAAAAATAAGAAGAATGAATATTATTAAAGCAAGTATCAGAGGGGTAGCCATGTTAGTCTGGATCTGTAAAAAGTGACAAAGAGTCCTGTGGCACCTTATAGACTAACAGAGGTTGACTCATTAGCAGTTTTGTAAGCAAGACACAAGAAGTAATTCTTCTACTCTATTCAGCTCTGTTAAGGCCTCATCGGGAGTACAGTTTCCAGTTCTGGTCACCACACTTCAGGAAAGACGTGGACTAAACTGGAAAAAAATCCAGAAAAGAGCAACAAAGATGATTAAAGGTCTAGCAAATGTGAGCTATGAGAAAAGATTGGAAAAAAAAAGTTTGTTTAGTGTAGCGAAGACTGAGGGGGAACATGATAGTCTTAAAGTATGCAAAAGGTTGTTATAAAGGGAAAGATGTTAAACTGTTCTTATTATCCGCTGAGGATACGACAAGAAGTAACGGGCTTAAATTGCAGCAAGGGAGATTTAGGTTAGACATTAAGAAAACCTTCCTAACAATAAGGGTAGTCAAGCACTGAGACGAATTATCTAGGATATGTGTGGAATCTCTGTCACTGGGGGTTTTTAAGAACAGGTTATGATGGAAAAGGCCTAAAGATCTAAATAAAATTAAGGACGTGTATCTAACCATGCATTTAACCATGTCAGCTATTTGCTAATTGGCTCACTTGGCTCACAAGTATATGCAGCTGTTTCTCCAGATATCCCCAAGGTAGTTAGTGCAAAGGGTCAAGGAATGTACCTTGCTCTCCCTTCAAAATGACAAATGTATCCACAACAGATGTCTCTTGTATCTCCCTCTCCAGAATAATATATGTATCCTGTGTAACCTATTATCTATAGGTCAGCATAATGACGCAGAAGAATGAAGGCTAAGTTGTTTGTTACTGGTTATAAAAAGGGCCTGTTCAGGCCATGTAAGGTGTGTCTCTCTTCTGGCATGAGCCGATGAGGGCACCCGCTCAGCTGACCGATTAATAAAGAACCTGGTACCCGTCTTCTTGTCTCTCCGTGCCTCCTTGGTGTAATTAGGTAAGCTCCGGGGGGAAACGGGCCCTATTTGGCCAACAGTTAGACTAATACTTAGTCCTGCCTCAGTGCAGGGGACTGGATTAGAGGAGCTACTGAGGTCCCTTCTAGTCCTACAATCCTATGATTCTATGCCTAAAACGAAGAGCTGCAACTGCAGTCTGCATCCCAAGTGCAAAAAGCTGTTGCCAGCAGCATGGTGCACGCATGGTTTTAGACAACGCGATCAGCTCACATTCCATTGGACACCAGACTATTTTAGAAAGAAAATATTGGAAAATATACCCTTAAGGCCTGATGACGTTGCTCCCACTAAAATCAGTGACAAGATTCCCTATGACGTCAATACAGTCCTTGTTTGGAATACTTGTTGAATTGCTTGTTTGCCCTGTTAGGCAGTTTTCCCCCAATCTCTTCAAACAGTACGTATACACGGTGCAAATAGCCGAAGCTGCTTCGTGGTACCTGTACAATGAAAATTCACTCCACTCCCAGTGCAAAAACTGAAGTAGCAGACAGTTCCTGCACAGACTGGGTTGCCTGATGCAAAGAGTTAAAACCAGCATACCTAGTACAAAGAACTGTAGCAGCAGGATGAGTACAAAGACCCACAACTGTGGAGGGATGTCTGCACACCTCATGCAAAAAACTGCAGCTGCTCAGGGCCGACGGGAGGGGGGAGAAACGGTACGAATTACCAGGGCCCGGCAGTCCGGAAGGGGGCCTGAGGCCTGGCTTCGTTGGCCCTGTTTAGCCGGTCCACGCTCGCTGGGGGGCCCGAAACATTTTTTTCACCGAGGCCCAAACCCGCTCCCGGCAGCCCTGCAGCTGCTAAAGGTTGCATGCAAAGACCTGCAATAGGAGAGGTGTGCATGCAAATTCCTATGGGCCTACTGCAAAGAACTGCAGCAGCAGAGGGATGCAGGAAAAGGCCCGCATGACTAGTGCAAAGAGTTGCAGCTGCTGACGGATGCATTCATGCAGAAATCTGAAGGCCTCATGCAAACACCTGCAGCAGGAGATGGATGCAGGCAAAAGTCTGCAGGCCTAGTGCAAAACCCTGCAGCAGCCGAGAGCTGCAGAAAAAGCCCTGCATGCCTAGCGCGCAAGGAGCTGTACCCGCAGCGATGGCATAGATTTCCAGGGCAAAAAGCTGTTACCAGCCTCAGGCATTCAGGATGCATTCCCCTTGCAATCAGAGCTGCAGACGCCTGCGCAGTACCACCGCGCCCCAGCAGGTGTCGATGGCGCCCGGCCTTGGTTGCGGGACTTTCTAGCCACGCTGGGGAGGTTCTATGGAAGGGATGGGCTCCCTGGTGGGCCGCGCATGCGCACTCCAACGCCCTCGGGGGACCGCCCCTATAGCAGCATGGAACCCGCCTTCCGCCCCCACCCCTGAGCCCAGGTAACGGGGGTGTGAAGCGCGCGCGCCCAGGAGCCCCTCAGCGGGGACGAGGCTCGGCTCCTCTGTCCCGGGGGGGGGGGCCCTGCCCCCCCCCGGAACATGGGCTGCCCCTTCGGGGGGGGGGGCTGTGTCCTGGGGAGGGGCGAATGGGGGTGTCTCTGCCCCCTGGCGGTGATGGGGTCGGGGGGGGGGTCTGTGTCCCCGGGAAAGGGGGCGTGGAAGGTGGGGGGACGCTCTGCCCCCTAGAGGGGATGGTGGGGGTGGGAGGGCTGTGACCTCTGGAGAGGGTGCCTGGGGGGCTGTGCCCCTCCCAGAGGTGAGGGTGGGGCTGTGCCCCCTGGAGGGGCTGTTTCTTCTGGAGGGGTTACATGGGGGTCTGTGCCCCTGCCCCCATAAGTGAGGGTGGGGTCGGGGGTGGCTGTGACCTCTGGAGTGGGTGGTGAGGCTGTGCCCCCAGGTGAGGGTGCAGGGGGGGCTCTGCCCCTCCCAGAGTGAGGGTGGAGTTGGGGGGAGGTTGGGCCCCCTGAAGGGGGTGCATGGGGGGCTGTGCTCCTGCCCCTAGAGGTGATGGTGGGGTGGGGGAGGGCTGTACCCCCTGGAGTGAGAGGTGAGGCTTTGCCCCCTCCCCAAACTGTTCTGACAGCATTTTGTTTTTCTCTCTTGCTAAATACTGAGCACTTGCTGTTGTAAAGAGTTGTCTGCTGGGGCATATCGCGAAGCTCTGTGCAGGACAGACTTGGGACTAGTGACCTATTGATGATTAATGCTATAACTGCACAGTTACACTAGCGTTCTCAGAGAGACTCCCGCAGCATGGGGCTCTCTCTAGGGGCCTCTCTAACTCCGTGCGGGTCTGGTTTGGGGTCTGTGTAAAGTTAATTATTTATGCTTTTGTTTGCATTTTTAAGACACTTTTGTAGATTCTGCTGAATGCATGTAACATTGAATAATGTAATAACGAAAGGCTAAGACTCGCTCTGGAAGCTGAGAGGATTCTTTGGCTGACAGGATCCAAGAACGCCCAAGCTTAGATATTGTGACTATAGTCTTTGGCAGCTTTAAGTTTACAACCCTAACTTCTGCCATAAGAGAAAGCAGCCTGCAGAAATTTGTCAGTTTTTGAGGAGTAATTTGACATTGTACTGTTCACTTTAAAATAATTCATTGGATTTTTAAATGGATGTAAGCAATTTATTGCTCAGTTTTGTGATATAACCTTACACAAGACTGATTTTATTTCCGCTCAGAAGACCAACAACATAACAGTTCTGGCATTTTGTTGATGGCTTAAATAAAAAGGTCACAATTACATTTCCCTTTGTGTCCCGTTTTTGATGTGCTGCACTTTGGGCAGCCTTAAGTGAAAGAGAACAGCATTTTTTGCTTTACCCTAAGTGCACACGGATGGTACAAAGGAAGCTTCAACAAAACCTCCATAGTCCTGAAAAGCCTTCAGGGAAAGGTTGGTTAAAACTGATTCTCTGTTGCAATCCCTCTGCTTGCAGTTGTTTGCTTGGTTTTATTTCACAATGGCAATTGTGTGCAGTAATACAAATGAAACAGCATGCAGGCCTGGCCTTAGGGCAGGGCAACATGGGCCCTCACCCAGGGCACCGTAGCCAGTGGGGGCAGTAGCCCCTTGATGCAGAGGCAAGGGGCTCGGGCTTTCCCTTTCTGCCTGCAGGGTGTGGCAGGAACACCCTGCTCCTGAGCAGAGGCCCCCTGCTCACCGCCCCACATGGTGTCTCTCCCAGCCTGGCTCGTAGTCCAGCCTCTGCACTCTGCAAACCAGCTCTCCGCTCCCCTCCCCCCCCACCCCACTCCCACTGTCCCAGCCCCGCTGTTCCTTTTTCAATGGGCGGCCTGAACGAAAGCCAGGAGCTGGAAGTCACCATCGTCTTCCAGGTTGGGAAGGGACTGGGAACTAAAACTCTAGGGCAAAGAAGAGACCAGTAAGTCTTAGGGGGTCCTGACCCCCAGCCCCCAGGGGACCCCTCCCTGTGCCCCCAGCTCCCAGCCTGCCCCAGGGGACTCCTCTCTGTGCCCCAGCTCCTAGCCCCCCTCCATGCCCACACAGCTCCCAGGAGGCTCCTCCCTCTGCCCCACAGGTCCCAGCCTCCCAATTCTCAGCCCCCCCCCCATTCTCCCCTTTTCTCAGGGTGTCCCTCATGTCTTCAAGGTCCCCCTCCTGTGTGCCACACTCTGACCCCACAGTTCCCCATGCTCCTCAGCTCTCAGGGGCTCCCCCTTCACCTTACTCATTCCAAAGAGAGGTGTTAGTGCAGGGGGTTGGGGATATTTCAGGAGTGAACCTTCCACCATCACCACCCAACCATTTTAACCTCTCCCAATAACCCTCTTTCCAGGGACTGGGGAGCGGTACTTGAATATTGGGAATGCTCAGTATGGGGGTGGGGAGAGGTCTGCCCTTCTGGAGTCCCTACGTCACCGCCCCCCCCCCCATCCCCACACCAATGTGATTCGATCTATACACCTCTGGTTCCCTCCCACCTTTCTGGGGCTCTCAAGTCACCATGGGCCCTTGCCACCACAGCCCTCTGGTGCCCTCCTGCCACTGTGCTGCTGCCCCTTGAGCTGCCGACCCTCTGGGGCTCTGTCAGAGAAGCTGGATGCCATGCTGAGGGGGAGCGGTATGACTGCCCCAGTGCCGGCTGACCCTGTTGGAGTGTGGCAGATCACTTGCTATGTTATCTTGGCTGTCCTGCTCAACAACCAGATGAGGGTTCCCTGTAGCACTGGCTGGGGGAGTCAAAGGGTTGCTGTGGGGTTTCCTATGATGCCCGTCACCGTGGCATCCAGATGTGACTCACTGCAGGGCAAGACCGGCCCTACGGGTGGGTGACGTGGTCAGGGGGGTGCTGTGGTTAAGAGGCAAGAAGCAGAGTGGGCCTGGATTGCAAGTTCATGGATGGGAATTTGGAGCAATGGGGTGGGGGGGATGGGGATCGAGTGGGGAGCCTGGGAAGGCAACTGGGGCTAGGGGCACCAAAATACAAGTTTGTCCAGGTGCTGTTTTCCCTAAGGCCGGCCCTGTAGCATGGGATATTGCAGATCAACATTGAGATGCTTTGGAAGAAGTGTGTATGGGAAATCCCAGGTATGAATAGCACGGGCTGCTGCCCTGTCAGTCTTGATGTGCACTGGTAGAGCTGGTTTCAGAGTAGCAGCCGTGTTAGTCTGTAGCCGCAAAAAGAACAGGAGTATTTGTGGCACCTTAGTACTCCTGTTCTTTTACTGGTAGAGCTGTGTGTGAAGCTGGGCTGGAATAACAGGAGATGCTGCAAATCGCTCTAGATTTAGGTGTGTGGGCAAAGCTCTGGGGGTGTGTGTGTGTCAGGATTTGGAATAACATCAAGTGCTGCAGATTAGGATTGAGACGCATGTGTGTGGATTCAGGACTGGAATAGCAGTGGCTGGTGCCGGTCAGGGCTCAGATGCATTGACAGTATGGGTGGGCGAGTAATCAGCAAAACTGGACTAGCCCAGGGTTTTGCTAGTCAGAACAACAATGTGTGCTTGGTGCATTTCTTTTCTTTGTTTCAGTGTGGTGTCTGTGTGAAATCCAAAACTGAGGGTGGAGCCCAGCACCTTTGTAAGAATGTCATTATTAAGAGGATTTTCTTTAAGTGTTGTGTATGTGTGAATTAAGCTCTCATGCCAGTGAGGGAGCTGATTGTGGTGACTGGAGGCTGACATTTTTGTTAAGATCCCAAAGTAGATAAATAATTTCAAGTGATATTTATAGAATTTCTACAATTATACAGAATGGTCACACAATGTAGATAATGTTACAAAGAAGGCAATCCTGCTCCGATTGAAGTAAAATGCCCATTGACTTGAGAACAATCAAAAATGTGGAGATTTTTCACAATCCGTGTGTGAATTTAATGCTTGTGGAAGCTGATGGCTTGACAGTCCTGGAGTTTGAAGTCCTCTCTCTAACCCCAGAATAAATACAGTTGTGGTGCAAGCTTGCCCAGAACCATTCCACATGTGTGCCTCAAACACCTGATTTGGAGGCACCAGGGGTTAGGGGGCCATGTAATCTTCATAGCCCATTGAGTCCTTGGTCTCTAGGCTAAAATTGGCACTTATCTGGTTGGCGGATGTTGTAAGGTGGTGGTGGTATGTAGATACTTGACCATTAAGAACTTGACTGACACACCAAACTCATTTCACACAGGCTACCTGTGATATAAGGCACAGAGATGAAAATGATGTAAATGCCTAGAAGAATACCAAACAGGCAAACCTTTGATTGTTGCCAACCTGGGCTGAAAATCCTATGAAGTACAGAACTGCACTACTGATCAGAAAAGGACTGTATAACCCTGGGAGCAGTCAGTCTGGCCTTATGGTTGCTACAAAACTGCTTAGTTTTGGTCTGAGTTGTGATTCCCTTACTAGTAGTTTTGTGGAAGGCTTTCAATTTTAACAGCAGCAGAAAGAACGGTTTCAAGACTAATATATCTTGGTGTCTTGAGAAGGTGAAAAACAGACACTGGTGGAAAGATGTGGTTTGAGGGTGAATTTCCGGGGGAATGTTGGGTAATCAGAGCTTTCAAACTAAACCAGTGGGGTATGTCACAATGAGGCAGACACAGAAGGCTTAGTGCAACTGTGCAGTCTTTCAGATGGGCAGATCGTGCTGTGTTTGCTCATTCTGTGTTTGTTTTCTCCTGCAGGATGAAAGAGTGGTGGATTCAGGTGGGGCTGCTGAGCGTACCCCTCCTTGCTGTCTACCTGCACATCCCTCCGCCTAAGCTGTCCCCAGCCCTTCACTCATGGAGGGCGTCAGGAAGGTACTTCACATACAAGACCCAAAACATCTTTTACAGAGGTGAGGAGTGACAGGGGAGTGGTGCATCCACATGGAGCTTTCTGCAGCACGGAGGAGATCCTGGGTTCCTCAGCCTGGGGTGCCAGACTAGCAGACAGACCTTTGCACTGTGACTGAGAGCTGCCTAGCTGCAGGTGCTGGGCCTTCGCTATCCTCCCCCAGGTGGTGCTACAAACGGCTTCTCTCTCCAGTGCTGCCGGTCTGTGCCACCAGGCAATACTAGAGAGAAGCTTTGACAGCCCTGGGAGAGAAGGTTGGGGAGGAACATATGGAAGCTGGTGGCCTGGCACAGAGTGGAGATCCCCTGCAAGACATGCATGGGGAAGAAGGGTGAGGGAAGGAGACACTGAAGAATTTAGGGGAAAGTAAAGAAAAAGGCATGCTGGAAAAGCACTGGAGAATCAAGGAAAACATAGACACTGGGGGGAGATAGGGAGCAAAAATGAAGAAGAGCAAAAAGTTTTAAAATAAATACATAGAATAATAAAACAGGGGTGTGGGGAGAGAGACAGACTGACTGGAGACAGACTGGACAGAAACAGGTGCGATGGGAACATTTGTACTGGGATGTGGCCTGAAGGGGCATGCGGATGCCAGTCCTTTGTGAGAGGGGAGCCAAATCTGGGTTGAAACTATGGCAGTGATTGAATAGAAGATGAGGGGAGTCCTTGCTCCTTAGCTCTTGAGGTGTTTTCTCTCCACACTCCACTGAAATGGAGTGGTCTGGCCGCCTTAAATTAAGTGGCAACTGTAGGTCAGTTAATTCACTTCTGGGGGAATGGACCATGGGTCTAGGACCAGGGTCGGTATCGTTACTATTAAACATTTATATTGCGGTAGTACCTAAAGGCCACAAGCAGTTTGGGCCTTATTGTGAAGTGTGACAGGGCCTAGTACCCCCCTCTAGGCACTGTGGGAGCAGATGCTGGGGGTTGTGGGTGCCTCTGATAGCCTGGTTATGGGTATCTGAGTGCAGGATAATAGTAAGAAAAAAGTTGTGACCCCTCGTTGCTGGGGTATTTAGTCAGTGTTGGGATTTTGCCTGCACTTTTTGTGCTCAGAGGGAATTTTTGGAGCCACGATTAAGCTCTGTTGGAGAAAAACCTGGTTCAAAATATGTAACTTGTGTCTGAAGCTGTACAAACTTGTGCTTTTATCCCCTTGTATTTCATAAGCTAAGCTGGGACCGTACTTGCTACTCCTGAGGGAATTCTGCGCCAAAAAAATAAAAATTCTGTGCACAATATTTTAAAAGTCTGCAAATTGTATTTGTCAATAAGTAAATGTGGAGGCTCCACCATGGCAGTGGGGAGCACAGGCCACTGGCTGCATAGAGGTGGGAGATCACCCTGCAGTTCCCCACCCCAGGACACGGACTCGGCGATGAAGCTGCACCTGACCCTGACACAGCACAAGGGCTGGACCTGCCCCAGAAGTCCGTGTCCCGGTCTGTGTGCGAGGGGGATCTGGATGCAGGGGTAGGCTGGCCAGATAGCAAGTGTGAAAAATCGGGATGGGGGTGGGGGGTAATAGGTGCCTATATAAGAAAAAGCCCCAAATATCGGGACTGTCCCTATAAAATCGGGACATCTGGTCACCCTAGCAGGGGGTGAGGCTCAGCGGGGTGGGGGTTTGGGTGTGAGGAGCTTGGTGGGGGGGGTTCTGGGAGTGAGGCTCAGCGGGAGGGATCTGGGTATGGAGGGGATTGGATGCATGGGGGTTGGGTGGACAGGGGGTGGGCCTGACCTGGCCCCAGGGGGGTGTCTGATCCAGGGCATCCCCATCCCCCCATAACTCCCCCCTGCAGTGATTTACCTCTCCACCCGCTGCTCCGGGTACCGGAAATAACATGCCTGCGCTGCTGGGGAAGAGCATGTGACCGCTCTTGTGGCTTCCCTTTGCTTCCCCATCAGAAAGTAATTTTTCTGCGGGGAAGTAAAGAAATCTGCATGGGATATGAATCCTGTGCACGTGAAGTGGTGCAGAATTCCCCCAGGAGTAGCTTGCATCCGACTCTTCTCAGGAACAGTTAGGTCCCACAGGAACTGGAAGTGGTAGGTTTACTCAAATGGCACACTTGCGTTTGTGGGCTGTTGGTGTTAGGCAGCACTGTGTAGTTGGAGGTGCTGTCGTTCTGGATGAGACGTAAAAATGATGTCCTAGCTGCTTGTCATTGAAGATCCCACAAATCCCTTCTTGAGAGCAGGGGTGTTCGCTCTAAATTATGGCCAAATTGCAGTTTTAAGTACAGATGCTCACAATATACTTACTTCCCAAGTCTTCCCCATGCCACAGTTGCAGTTGGGAGCAGTATTTTTCTCCACTTCCTGTCCTTAACCTGCTGCTATGTGCTGTGAAACAGCTGTCATGTTTTACCCAAGAGATGGCTGCATTTGAGTGTCTGATTCCTGGTTTCCCTATCAGTTTAAAATTTGTGTAGTGCTTTGGGATCATTCAGAATGAAAGGTGTTATGTAAATGTAAGATCACTCTCGTTGCTCCCAAGTTGTCTGTGTACATAGACTGGATCAGTAGCCTAATGTGGTGAGCCCCCACGTGATGCCATTACACCAACAGTGTAAACGCACTCCTCTGCGAGGCACCTCTGTCCAGCTCTTAAGGAACAATAGGCGTAGTAACAGGTTTTTGTGCAAGCTGAGAAGTCTCTGAATGGCAAAGTCTCGGGGGGGTTGTCTGTGTGTTAAGGTCTAAGAATGGTTACTGTGAGGGAGGCTTTGCAGCTGGAGAGATCTGATTTTTTAGTGTTCAGAAACCAGCAAAACTCTTCTCGGGAGCCTGGAACACACAGCTGGGTTGATATTACTGTTGGGTCCCTGATATGTTATCCTGTACAGCTGTTTTAAAGTTTAAAGAGAAAGCCTCCTTGGAGTGTAGCGCGCCTTGCTGATGTCCTGTTCTCTCCTCAGATTCATCAGGGGCACTCGGCAGTTCAGATATTGTGGTTCTGTTACACGGCTTCCCAACCTCCAGCTATGATTGGTACAAGGTGAGGGGACCAAGTAAGCACAAAGCGTGGACTGTGTGAGTAAAATGAGTGATTCTCACTTCCCCTGGAAACGAGAGGGGAATCTCTCAGGGAGGAATAAATGGGCCTGTCCAACCAGTGAATCACAGAGGAGAGATTGATGAATAACAGGGCTTCTCTAGTTTGTGGCAAAGTTCTTGTTTTGACTCCCCCAGCCCACTTCACTCTTTTTTCTCATAGCCAAGACTTTGCCCTTGGGTGAAACTTGGCACAATTTGTCATTGCTTTGAAAGTGTGGCTAAGCCATCACCTGCAAGACCCTATACAACCTTCTTTCCACCTACCTATGTCTCTGATGTCCCTTCCTCTCCCTAAATTCTTCCCACTTCTCTCTTGCCACTTCCTCCTTCATCTCACACCCTTTTTCAGGCCTTTTCTAATGCTGTCTCCCATGCCTGGAGTGCTCTGTTCTCTGCCAAGTGCCCTGCCCCACTTCAGTTCTCTCCTTAAGACTCACTTTCAAGCATCCCTTCTACTCATTATTAATCCCTTGGCCCTTCTGCTCCTAAGATTTTTATCCTATGATTTATTTTGCTTGTGTGTTCTTGGGGGCAGGAAACTTGTCTTAGATCAGATAACAGCGTTCTGCTGTATAAATTGGGACTGGGGCCAGATCCCATAATCAAACATTCGGATAAGCCAAAGAATGGGAAAGTGCAAGGCCGCAGCGCCATCTAGTGGCCACAGGAGAGATCACCTGCTTCTGGACTTGTGTGTGCTGGTGGTTTGGTTAATATGGAGAGCCGGATAATGGAGGGTCGGATAAACAGGGTTCTTTTGTACTTGTAAAGAATGATGTCAGTTTCCCATGCTGTGTAAGTGTTTGGTGGTAATAAGTGTGGCATTCCTGGGACCAGATGCTGGATTTTGTAAGCTCCAAAGGGAGCAAAAACCATCTCTGGCTACACATGGATTCCAAGATGTTGGTGGCAGCTTCTCTCAACTGGCCTATATGAATATTGGTATTTTCTTTTAAAAATAACTCCATAAAGGCCTCTCGCTGGGAGGCGCAGCTGTCATCTCAAAATCTGAGTCCTTTCAAATACTCACATTTTTGGGAGATCAGGGGCACTACCCTTGTAATGGTTGAGAAGGTGGACTTCCCTGTTGAGTGATCGTGGTATCAGTTTGACAGGTTCTGAAGGCAATTCCCATATGGTACATCTGGCCAGAGGATATAGCTATAGAACAGGGTCTTACGTTGGATGGAGAGGCAAACCAGAGGGGAACCTCGGGATCTAGCCAATATGGCCTTTGCAGGGAAAAACCCAATCGTGGAGAATGGGTGAAATAACTCTTTAGAAGATCTGTTGGCTTTTGCTGTCATGAATATACTGGTTATTATGATAACTCAAATCCACTGCAGTTCAATTTATGTTTGCAGCATGTGTGTCTGGGAGGAGCTTTAAGAAACTACAGTGTAGAACTAACAGACGTATAGCAGCATGAGCTTTTGTGGGTGATGCATCCGAAGAAGTGGGCATTCACCCACGAAAGCTCATGCTCCTATACGTCTGTTAGTCTATAAGGTGCCACAGGACTCTTTGCTGCTTTTACAGATCCAGACTAACACGGCTACCCCTTTGATACTCTACAGTGTAGAACTGTCCATCTTGGTGTGTAGGCCTCAGAGATATGAGTGTAGCTGCTCTTACGTTTTCCTCTCTTTCTCTTACAGATTTGGGAAGGGCTGACCCAGCGATTTCAAAGGGTGATCGCTCTGGATTTTGTAGGATTCGGTTTTAGTGACAAGCCTGTAAGTGGTCCTGACAAATGATTGTGTAGTTCCTTTTGGAAAAGGAATGTAATGATGCAAGTGCATCCAGACCAATGGCATCACACATGCCTGTGCCTGGGAAGATGGATTTTATTTACTGTGGATTTTAATGAAATCGGTTCATTTCCCAGGTTGCTTTCTGTCTTTATCCACTTACATTTTTTTCAGGATGCAGTGTTGTAGCTGTGTCGCTCCCAGGATATTAGAGACACAAGGTGGGTGAGGTAATATCTTTTATTGGACTGACTTCTGTTGGTGAGAGACAAGTTTTCAAGCTTTCACGGAGCTCTTGAGCTTGAAAGATTGTCTCTCTCACCAGCAGAAGTTGGTTCAATAAAAGCTATTACCTCACCCACCTTGTGTGTCTAATATTTTTCAGTAACAGAAATAAAGATACAATTGTTAGAATATGATTGGTGTCAAAATCAAACATCAGAATTGGGACATGATGCAATGTTCTCTAAAGTGACCACACTCCACTGGAGTGTTGGCGGACCTCTGTAGAATAGTTTTGCTTCACTTGTCACGTTAGGCAGCTCTGACTCTGACTGGTAAAATGCTGGCAGAGGGTTACTAGCTTGTGGTTACGCTAGTGTAATTGTAACCTTGCAAACAGATCACTGAGTGAGTATGATAGTACTTAGCTCTTCATCTTCAAAAAGCTTTACACACACTAGGTAATCATCACCTTCTGTGAGTTGAGTTTCATTATCTCCATTTTATAGATGGGGAAACTGAGGCACGTGGCGGTGAAATGATTTGCTCAAGATGTCTCAATAAATCAAGCAGGAGCCTGGACTAGAAGCTGAGTTGTTGGCTGTCAGTCCTGGGCTTGTATCATGCTTCTGCATTTGTCCGTGAGCACTGGTGCTCAGTTGTGTCCAGGCACTGAACTTGGTCAGACTGGAACTGCCTGGTGGGCTGTTCCAAAGAACCTGCATAGTGATATTCCAGCTCTCTGTAACTAATAAGATAGAAGTGTATGACATTGCTCTCACTGGAGCTGCTCTCTTGCTTTGCTTTTTAAACAGAGGCCCCATCGCTATTCCATTTTTGAGCAGGCCAGCATCGTCGAGGGGCTGCTGGGGCACCTGGGTCTCCGAAATCAGAGGATCAACCTCCTGTCTCATGACTATGGAGACACAGTTGCACAGGAACTGCTCCACAGGTCGCTGGAAGCACTAAAGCTCTGAATGCTCTTCGTCGTCCTCCTAGGGTTTAATTCTCTGAAGCTAAGTAAAAGTAAATGGTGCAGAGCCCCCTCTTTCCCCATCCCACATCTGAGATTCAGGGTGACAGCAGGAGGTACCAGTGCGATACCATGCTGATGGATGCAGTAGTATAAGAACCTAGGTAGATAGATGGAGGGAAGCTGGTCGGCTGTCACCATTGCCTTCAGTGGGAGCTGTGTACACGATACAGTGGAAGAGTCTTGTCTAGCCATCTCCAAAACTAGGTGCACAACATACTCTTTGTCTTTGAGACCTGGAGGCTTGTCAAGGATGTGAGGATTGAACAAGGCAAGTCTTTACAAGCCAAGAGCATCTTCCGTCACCATTGACCAGGGTCTGTGTGAAACCACGGGGGTTGATTCTTCACAGATGGAAGGACTCTACCTAGGTTAACACTTTTCTTCCTGTCAGAAATGTTAGCAGCAGCTGATAATGCTTTGCCTTTCACTTTCTCACCTCAAAGTAGGTGGCAAACGTTAAGGATTTGGCCTTGCAACCCCCCTATGAGGAAGGGAGCAGATAGAATGCCCCTCTTATAGATGGGGGAAATTGAACCAAAGAGTGGCTGAGGGATTTGTCTGAGGGCAAGTCACTGGCAGAGGAGGAGTCAGAACCTAGGTTTCTTAATGTGCAGTCCCTTGTTCTAATCAGTGGATCAGGCTCCCGGTGGTTGGGAAGTGCTGCAAGGTGTAACTTCCACACAACTCCTTAACATGGGGTGGTGTAGAATCTCTAGGTACATGTCGGATGTATAAATGTGTGTGCATTGTATTAGCATTTAAGAAGGTCTTTTTTACAAATATTTATTACTTATTTAGTACAAACAATTTAGCAGTGTGCTGTGAGCTCCCAGCAGTTAGTGATATGAGTGGGGGAGGGCGGGTGGTAAGCATTGCTGATTTTTTAACTAGTCTAAAGTGAAAATTATTCAGCAAATAGAACATCCAGTAGTGCAAATCCAGTGTGCCTATTTTCTGTATCCCTCTTGAGATCCAGGGAGAGAGGACTTTCCCCAAGGCTGCTGAGACTCTTCCATAAAGCATGCGTTAGAGAAGGCCTTGTTTACTCGCTTACCAGTGATTATTGCAGTGTAAATGAGCTATACAGTGAAGGAGAGCTGTAGGGAGTACTTTGACACTGCTGTTCCTATGCTACCTTTGAAATCGCGTCTCATGGGTTACTTCGCATCCTGGATTACGTTTTAGTAAATGGCGATATTACTGCAGTCTGTTGGTCAGTCACTTCTTGGAATTGGCTGAGAATCGCTCCAGTTTAATTCAGCCTTGTCTTTTGTTCTCCAGGTATGAACACAATAAAACTGGATGTGTTCTGATCAACAGCCTCTGTTTATCCAATGGAGGTAACGGTTATGCTTAGAGTAACGTGATCTGTGCAGAATGAATGGGTGGGTCTTGATCCACTTCCCTGATATCGGTGCCTACATCACCATTGAGACTAACTGCTCCCTTTGTTGGCAGTCTCATCACAGTGCCAAGGGCTGAATGGGCAATAGAGACTGAACCCCCCTCTGACCCACAGAGGGGGTCCCTCCAGGCCAGGGATTAGGCACACTGGTGTAGCAGTGGGGGGACGCTTTCAGTGCTCTCCCTTTTCTATGGGTTAGTGGAAGGTTTCAGTGCTGTCAGTGCAGGACCTTTCACAACACTAAAATTCACTCTGAAGTGGGGAAAGGGGGGAATGGCTGGTTATAGAACATAGGAAGGCTGATTAGACTGGACAACAGATACGTCTCCCGCCGTTGTTTTATTAGTAGCAGATTGATCCTGTTAATGCAGCTTGTAAGGGCAGACGGTCTCTATTGTGGCACATTTCTGAATGGTGCTGCCACTGAGCAGTAAGAATTTCTTCCCTTCTTTATGACATGTTTTTTGGCCACTCTTTGTGAGAGTAGGTGCCTGTCCTGACTTGGCTGGTTCAGTGCCTTGATGGCATTTGTAGCCTATAACAGTGGCATCGCCGCCTCTGCCATGCACAGAAATAAAATTCTATTAAGAGGTGTTTAAAAAAAAAAAAAAAAGACTCAGCCATCCCCATGTAAGATATTTGTATCTGGCTGTCAGCAAATGCATTCACTGAGGCTGCACAGGTGGGGGGAGACTGGGAAATGTCAGAGCACAATTAAGTAACTGCAGTGTCTGTTTTCTGAAACACTTTCAGGTATTTTCCCAGAAACTCATTACCCCCGGTTCATTCAGAAGGTGAGCTGCTTTGGTCTCTAGTTTTATGAAATCTGGACGCAAGTATCAAGAATAAAACTTCTAGGCATGAGTTTGAGTGTGCGCCGGTTTTTGGTCCTAGACTGTGTCCTTTTCCAGCGACTGTAATTTGTTGGCTTGCTTAAAATTACTGCATGTAAATGTTTAGGTGCAGTTAAGGGGGGAGGAATTATTCAGGCCACGTCTACGCTAGCGAACTCCCCGGGGCAGCTGCACCTCTGTAAGATCGCTCGTGTAACTGCTCTACGCCGATGGGAGACAGCTCTCCTGTCAACCTCATACAACCACCTCCACGAGCAGCAGTAGCTAGGAGGGCGGGAGTTCTCCCGCCAATACAGCGCCGGGCACACGACCACGTGTGCCGGCAAAACTTACGTCACTCAGGCGGGGGTGTGTTTTCACATCGCTGAGCGACATACGTTTTGCCGCTATAAGGGGTAGTGTAGACATGGCCTCGGAGGACGAGAGTTGTTCAACGTTCTGTTTCGTTGTACCACCGCGTGCTTTGATCTTACCAGAACTTGCAGGGTCAGGTCAGTGTTGGGGTGGAATACTGATTGGAAACACCGAGGTGGTGCGAGCGCTGGGGGTGCTATTCCCTCTGACTCTGCCCAGAGTCAATGGTCTCATCTGGTGGTGGTGGCTGCTATGCTCCTGGACAAGCAGTCTTTCAGAGGAGTCATAAAACCGATGGCCACACTTGGTGCCGTTTAAAAAAAGCTTCCATTTAAAAAAAAAGTCGTATACACCCAAAATGTGCTCGGCATCTCCAAGACACACTAGCCTGGTTACAGTCTGTTCTTGAATTTCTGCTGCTGCTCAGAGTGAAGACTGAGCAGAGCCATGCCAACTTCCACTGCTGTTATTGGGGAAGCCATTGTGTCCAGCTCTGGGCACCACCCTTTAGGAAACGGACCAAAAGCAGGTCAATTTCATGCTGCTGGTGCTTTTGGAAAGCTCTGAGCAGCAGCAGAGGCAGGCATTGGAACTCACTGGGGGAGGGGTCAGAGAAACAGATGTCTCCCCATTGCAGCAGCCAGACAGCAGGGGGAGAGGTAGACTAGTGGACACCTTCACTCTTTGCAGTAACTAGCAGGTTCTGGGGTGGGAGGCTGGAAAGAGGGACTGGAAATGCTCCTTCTCCGTACAGTAACAAGCAGGTGGGACTTGGAAGGGGGAAGGGATTCAGATTTATCAAACACCGACTGTCCAGATGCTGATGTGAAAGATGGAGCTTCTGGTAGGAATCCCATCACCTTTCCCATTCTCATTAGTGATGGGTGAGCTGCTCATCCCAACAAGGCTGCTAATTCTTCCCTGACACCTCCTCAAAAAAAAAAAAAAAAAAATCTTATTGCCTTCTGGTTACTAGGTGCCTAGTCATTTTCTCAAGTCTTGGCCTTAGTGTCTTGGATCTGAGGTTCAAATGGCCTAAAGAGATCAATGGCTGAAGGTGCTTTGGTTCAGTGTGTTAATAACTTTGAAAAATCTAGCTGGAATAATGGATTTACTTCAGTGATTGTGGGGAAATGGTGGTTCCGTAAGACTGCTGGCTCATGGGGCCTGGTAGCTCTGTAGGAAAGGCCCCCTGAACAGGCAAGGAGTCATTGCTGTCTATATGGCATTTAATGGCGTTTTTCTCCTTTCTTCTGCCAAAGATTCTCAAGGATGGTGGCCTACTGTCCCCCATCATCACCCGGCTAATGAACTACTACTTCTTCTCAAGAGGGTGAGTTGGTGTTCTGAGCACTACACACACTGTAGGGGACAACCTTGTTGTGCCAAGTGTATAGATTAGGTAGGAGTATAACCCAGGAAACACTCACTTGTATAAAAGTATTAAGTCATGTGTCCTCTATAGGCTGTAGTTACTAGATGGCTACTTGTTCACATATACTGGAGCATGTTCCATCCAGTAGAGGACAGTCGCTCACTGTCGTTCCATCCAGTTCATCGGTGGTAGGCAGATGCACCATATTATACTGAAGATATTCTGAAGTTGAGACAGACTTTACTTGGAAGCACTGTTCATGTCTAAACAACTTATTTCCCTTTCTGATTTGGTGCCTTACACTAGGTCCCACAACATTGTCCTAAGAAAACTAGAAAAATGTGGATTTAGATGAAATTACTATAGAGTGGGTGCAAAACTGGTTGAAAGACCATTCAGAGTCATTATCAATAGTTCAGACGGGGGGGATATATCTGTTGGGGTCCAGTACTATTCAGTCTTTTCATTGATGAATTGGAGAATGAGTGGAAAGTATGCTTATAAAATTTGTGGCTGACTCCAAACTGGGAAGTGTTGCATAGACTTTGGAGGACAGTGTTAGAATTCAAAACGAGTTTGACAAATTGGAGAATTGGTCTGAAATCAACAAGATGAAAATCAGTAAAGATAAGTGCAAAGCAGGAAGGAACCGTCAAATGCACAACTACAAAATAGGGAATAACTGGTTAGGTGGTAGTACTGCTGAAAAATAGCTGTGGGTTATATTGCATCACAGACTGAATGAGCCAATAATATGATGCAGTTGCAAAAAAGACAAATATTATTCTGGGGTCCATTAACAGAAGTGTCGTATATAAGACATGGGAGGTGATTGTCCCGCACTGCTCAGCACTGGTGAGGCCTCATCTGAAGAACTGTGTCCAGTTCTGGGCACCACACTTTAGGAAAGGTGTGGACAAATGGGAGAGTCCAGAGGAGAGCAACAAAAATGATTAAAGGTTTAGTAAACCTGACCTGTGAGGAAAATATAAAAAACCTGAGCATGTTTAGTCTTGAGAAAAGACGTCTGAGGGGGGGACCTGATAACAGTGGTCAAATATGTTAAGGTTTGTTATAAAGAGGACAGTGATCAATTGTTCTCCGTGTCCAGTAACCTAGGACAAAAAGTCCTGCAGCCAGGGAGATTTAGGTTAAATATTAGAAAATACTTTCTAATTATAAGAGAGGTTGTGGAATCCTGTCATTGGAGGTTTTTAAGAACAGGTTGGATAAGCTCTAGATTTACTTGGTCCTGCCTCAGTGTATGGGGCTGGAGTAGATGACTTTTCAATGTCCCTTCCAGACCTATATTTCTATGATTCTTAAAGATGCTGCCTGCAAACAACAAATATAACTCCTTTAAAGACACATCAGTCAGGACTTGGAACAGGAAAAGTCCCAGGATTCCCTCATCTGTAGCCACGCAGAGTTACGGTTTAAGCGTTAAGGGTGAAACCTTCACCTTCCTGAAGTCAGTGGCAGTTTTGCTATTGACTTCATTAGGGCCAGGATTTCACCCTAGGTTCAGAATGCCTAGATCAGGGCTCTCCACACAAGATCACTTTTTGAATTTAAGATCAACCCAGGATCTACCTCCCCCTCCCCGAGTCCCCACCCCGCTCACTCCATTCCCCCCTCCCTCCATCGCTCGCTCTCCCCCACCCTCACTCACTTTCACCGGGCTGGGGCAAGGGGTTGGGGTCCGGGAGGGGGTGCAGGCTCTGGGCTGGGGCCGAGGGGTTTGGAGTGTGGGAGGGGGCTCCGGGCTGAGCCTGGGGTAGGGGGTTGGGGTGCAGGAGTGAGGGGTGCAAGCTCTGGGAGGGAGTTTGGGTGCAGGAGGGGGCTCCGGGCTGGTGCAGGAGGAGGTGAGGGGTGTGGGAGGGAGTTTGGGTGTAGGAGGGGGCTCCAGGCTGGGGCAGGAGTGTAGGAGGGGTGTGAGGTGTAGGCTCTGGCCGGGAGGCGTTTAGCACAGGTGGCTCCTGGCCTGCTGTGGCCCCATGCTGCTCCCCGAAGTGGCTGGCTGCTGGCACGTCCCTGTGGCCCCTGGGAGCCGGGGACAGCGCGCGGAGCCATCTCACCCCACGCCCCCGTGAGGCCGCAGAGACATGCCAGCAGCCAGCCGCTTCTGGGAGCCGCGTGGGACCACAGCAGACAGGCAGCCTACCTGAGCCCCACTGCGCCGCCAGACTTGTAGCGGCCGGAGATCGCGATCAACTGGCAGAGGCTCCAGGATCGACCCGTCGATCGTGGGTGACCACTGGCCTAGATCCATTTGATCCCACTGGGATTTGACTTCAGATGCCCCCTTTCTGTGGTGGGCCCTATGCAGTTTACTAGGTTGAGGTTTTTCAGATGTGACCTAAATAAATGAGATTTCCCTCTTTCCACTCACCCCCACCCCCAACACTCAGCAAGGACATTAGAGATCCACAGCTGGTTTTCACACTATTACAATGCTGTTGTACTTGGTTTTCCAGCACTGCATGGGGATCGACGACAACAAAATGACTGTCCTCTCCCACAAACAATTCATTGAAATTAGAACAAACATTTCTATTCATATTAGATGCTCTGAAACACCTTTCTTTCCCCACTTCGGGATCACTGCTAAATTTGACACTGTCCTTTTAATTTGGATAATTTGGGGTGCTCCAAGATTGTGTATTTTACAAACGAATCTTGTAATCATTTGACACTTTTGCCCTGAAACTAGTTTTTGTGTCTGGTATTAAGTGATGTTATATCCTGTTTATTTCAGGAGGGGATACACGCCGTAAAGATCTTCATGCCTCTCTGAATTTTTTTTCAGACTTGGGGCAGTCTTTGGTCCGTATACGCAGCCTTCAGCGGCGGAATACTGGGACATGTGGACAGCAATCCGGACAAATGACGGAAACCTTGTTGTTGACAGGTATGTTGCTCTCTAATTTCCTTGTCTGTTGATGTCTTGCACCAGCTCATCCCTGTATTTCCAAACTGAGAGCCATGGAGCACTTACTGGTGGTCTGCAGAGAGCTGCCTGATCACTTAAGAACACAAGAGTGGCCAATGCCTGGTGCTTCATGGGAATAAACAAGTGATCCATCACCTGTCGTCCAGTCACAGCTCTGGCAGTCAGAGGCTTAGGGACACCTGAAGCATGGGGTTTGTCACTGATCATCTTTGGCTAATAACTGTTCTCCATGAACTTATCTAATTTTTTTAACCCCCTGGCAATGAGTTGCACAGGTTGACTCTGCATTGTGTAAAGTAGTACTTCCTTATGTTAGTTTTAAACCTGCTGCCTATTAATTTTATTGGGTGGTTCTTGTGTTATGTGAAGGGGTAAATAACACTTCTTTACTCACTTTCTCCACATCATGCATGATTTTATAGACCTCTATCATATTCCCCCCTTAGTCGTCTCTTTTTTAAGATGAATAGTCCCAGTCTTTTTAATCTTCCCATCTATGGAAGCTATCCCATTCCCCTAACCATTTTTGTTGCACTTCTTTGTACCTTTTCCAATTCTAATATCTTTTTTGGAGATGAGGCGACAAGAACTGCACACAGTATTCAAGGTGTGGGAATACCATAGATTTATACAATGGCATTCTATATTGTCATCTTATCTATCCCTTCCCTAATGGTTCCTAACATTCTGTTAGCTTTGTTTGACTTCTGCTGCACATTGAGGAAATGTTTTCAGAGAACTGTCCACGATGACTCCAAGATCTTTCTTGAGTAGTACTAGCTAATTTAGGCCCCATCATTTTGTATGTATAGTTTGGATTATTTTTTTCCAATGTGCATTACTTTGCATTTATCAACATTGAATGTCATCTGCCATTTTGTTGCTTAGTCACCCAGCTTTGTGAGATCCCTTTATAAGACTTCTTAGTCAGCTTTGGACTTAACTATCTTGAGTAATTTAGTATCGTCTGGAAACTTTGCCACATCGCTGTTTACCCTCTTTTCCAGATCATTTATGAATACGTTGAACAGCACAGGTCCCAGTACAGATCCTTGGGGGGGGCTTGCTATTTACTTCTATCCATTTTATAAACTGACCATTTATTCCTGCCCTTTGTTTCCTGTCTTTTAACCAGTTACTGATCCATGAGAAGACCTTCCCTCTTATCTCATGACAGGTCACTTTGCTTAAGAGCCTTTGATGTGAGACCTTGTCAAAGGTTTTCTGAAAGTCAGGAACACTGTGTCAACTGGATCACCCTTGTCCACCTGCTTGTTGACCCCCTCAAAGTATTCCTATAGATCGGTGAGGCATGATTTCCCTTTACAGAAGCTGTGTTGACTTTTCCCCAACATAGCCTGTCCATCGATGTGTCTGATCATTCTGTTCTTCAATATCGTTTCAACCAATTTGCCCTGGTACTGATCTTAGGTTTACCGGCCCGTAATTGCCAGGATCGCCTCTGGAGCTTTTTATAAAAATTGGCTTTACGTTAGCTACCCTCTAGTCATCTGGTATAGAGGCTGATTTAAGCGAAAATTCACATACCACAGTTAGTAATTCTGCTGTTTCACATTTGAGTTCCTTCAGAACTCTTGGGTGAATCCCCTCTTGTCCTGTTGACTTATTACTGTTTAATTTATCAGTTTGTTCCAAAACCACCTCTATTGACCCCTCAATCTGGGACAGTTCCTCAGATTTGTCACCTAAAAAGAATGGCTCAGGTGTGGGACTCTCCCTCACATTCTCTGGAATGAAGACTGATGCAAATCATTCATTTAGTGTCTCCACAAAGGCTTTGTCTTCCTTGAGCCCTCCTCCAGGCAGTGAAAGAAGACCCTGAATACCTATAGAAATAGCTGGAATCAAGGAGGAGAGGCTCGGCTATCTGTACTAGCCAACATAGCTGTTGGCATGTGGATGTTGCCCAGCTATAAATGGGATTGAGGTTTGGAGAGGAGATGGGCCGTGCAGTTGTGAATGGGGAGGGGAGGAGGTGGTCCACAGGAAGATCTGAGGCATGGTCCACACTGTGAAAGCATTTGACAAGCTCTGCTCTATAGGAGTGGTAAAATTGCTTGAACATTCCTGTGGATGATGGAAAGTACCGAAGTGTGATCTGGGGGCCAAAAATGTCTGAGATCTAGCTCTGCCACTGACTTTTTCCTGTGGCTTTGGACAAGTCAATTTAAACTAGCCCAAGGCGGGAAATGGGCTTGTGCTTTTTTTCTTTTTCTTGCTCATGTATGATGTATGTAGCTTGACTTTATTTTTCTTCAGAATAAGTTAGGGGGTTCCTGCTTGTGGTTTACCTTTGAATAACGGCTGCCAAGTTTGGTCCTCGCTGATTTGGTTGGAGGCTTTTCTTGGACAACACAGAGATGTGGAATGGGAGCTGTCTTGGCCCTCAGTTTAATCAGTAACGGGGAAGGGAGTATTAAATCATCAATGCAAGAGCTTTTCTTCCAGCTGTTTGTTCAGGAGGCGTTTGAGTCAAATAAGTGTTAATGAAAGGAAACAAGCAAAAGTGGTAATCAGAATAAAAATCACCTCCCTCCTCAGTTAATTGGATTTCACTTCTGTGGTATCTTTGGCATAAATCTACTAGTTCTCTAGTCATGCCTAGTGTCTTCTAGGAAAAATGTAACCTCCCCCCACCAAAAAAATACCCTTTTTATTAATAAAATTAGTAATAATCCCTTTCAGGCCTTCAGTATATATAATGAGGAAACAAAATGAGGAAGAAACCCAATGACTTTTTCCTCTGCTGCTCATCTCTAACTACTGTCTCATTTTCTACATCTAAAGAATGGGTCTAATACATACTTCACTCCCTTGTAGAGAGGCTGTGATGGCAAATAAGCCAGTGTCTGTAATGCACTTTGAAGATATATTAAGTAGGATGATAAGAGGGAAGAGGAAAAACAACCCAAAGGAGACCTTTGAAAGGACACCGTTAAAAGTGCCTTTCCTAGTAAGTTACGTTTGAGCAGAACTAGTAAATTTGCACCTGTACTAGCTTGTGTGTGTGTGTGTAGCTGGAGTTCTGCACACTTGGCACATGCATTGCAATATATTCCTGTCATGTCTCCTTAGCATGCAACTTGATTCAACATTTTAACAAGAAATTCAGTGCAGAAATCTCTCCTGTCGCATTATGATTGAATGTTCATTGTGCATTTACCTTCCCAGCTGAACATTGCTTTGTCACGGTGCCTGCGTTGCCTGTCCCTGCTGCGGTGTACTGCGTGCCTCCATTGCTGGAGGACGGAAGAACCAGACTAACTCTCTAACCATGGCCCAGATAGATTGCCGTCAGTAAACGGGAACTGGCTATACTGCAATTGGTTGTTTATAGTAAATCTAGCTTCTTTTAGTAGGATTTGAGCCCTGACCAAACGAGGAGGGTGAAAAAGGATTTTTGGGATTGGCCCAGATGGCTGCATTATCCAGTTCTGCTAGTTAAGTCCAATGCAGCCAAGACAAGGCAGGGATGGGAGCAGAGCAGGTTTTGTGAGCCAGGTTCATAGTCTAGAAACCCCATTCACATCTCCTGCCCTGCATTAGGTACTGAGGACTTTCCATGGATTTTGGCCGATCGTGATGTGAATTTTGCACTCCCTGGCGCTGTATGTTCAGTAAACCTAACTAATGTGGATGTCCATGTTTGGATGGGTCTCTGCAACCAGAACAACTGGAAACCTTGTTTTTAAAATGCAAGTTTTAGTTCCTGTCAGAAAATGTTGTGGCCCTTGTAAAACAGCATTGCAGCTCTCAGATCGAGAGCCCCGACTCTGAGTAGCTGGCTGTCACTGAGAGGAGGGGGGTTTAGAAGTATTTGGAGCTAACGTTTTAACAGTAAGAGAGAGAGATCCAAATTGGCTTTACATTAGTGATTATATTTCCTCTCTCACACGCCCTCTCCCTGTGAAGGTGCCTTACTACCATGTCCTCTTCTGTAGTAAATTGAAACCACTTCCTGCCTTGGTGAAAAGGCAACACAGAGCCCAGTGTACTGCCTGTAATATGAACCCCAGAGTTTTCAGATCTGTCTGCGACTCAGTTTCCTCCATTGAGGCGGTACAAGAATGCCAGCACAGTAGAGAGATCTCATTTCAGATGTTGGATTCCTAGTTTTGCATTGATGGCTGGAATAGAGCACTTTGGGGGTTTTTTAAAGCAGCCTTGTGGTAACCAATAGCAGTGAGCTCAGTTACTGCCCTCGGCCTGCAGCCCGGGGGCGTGTGAGGAGGGAGTTTGTGCTTCACAGTGGTAATCAAGCTGCATCTGTGGAAATAATAGTTGTCTTGTACGTTTAAAAGCAGGTTTGTACTTCTGTAATGTAGAGCTAAAGTACTTCAGCAGGGTAGGTTGGTACCGTTATCCCCATTTACTGTTGGTATCACTGAGGCCCAAGGTCCAGTCCCATGACTCGGGCCTGGTCTATGCTACAGAGTTAGGTCGACGTAAGGCAGCTTCTGTCGACCTAATGATGTCGGTGTCGGTGTACGTGCTACAGCCTTGCTCCTGCTGACGTAAGTGCCCGACTACACCGACGACATAACTCCACCTCCACGAGAGGCGTAGGGCTTATGTCGGTGTAGTTAGGGCGACACAGTATCTGTAGACGCTGTGGGTTATGTTAGCAGTCATTCTTGTCAATTTCATGGCACCCTGCTGGAGCTGTGAAATTGAGAAGAAAACCAGGTTCCCAGCTTGGGCTGTCATCCCAGGGTAGGTGGGGGCTTAGAGCCTGGCTGCCGCCGGGCTCCCTGCTCCCAGCCAGGCTGCTCCCCAGTCTCTCTGTTCCCCCCACTGGGCTGCTGCGTGGACTCCTGGCTCTGGCTCCGAGCTGGGCTGCCGTCTGAGCTCCTGGCTCCGAGCTGGACAGCTGTCCAGGTTCTCTGTTCCCCGCTGGGAGCCAGGCAGCCGCCTGGGTTCCGGGTAGGGAGGTCCCTGAATCTTGTTGGCCTGGAGAACTAATGCTTGATGTGGCCCAGCAGAATTCAGTGTAGGGCAGCTTTGCTCTTTGGTCTCAGTCCAATCCTAGGGGACACATGACCACAGCACACCATGGCAATCTCAGCAGAGAGACCAAGGCCTGCGTGGCCCTGGAGACAGAAGTTCCCTCTACCATTTAGAGCTGGTTTCTCCAGGGCAGGGTTGAGACGTGCCCTCTGAGCAGTAAGAGGGACGCCTGCACCTATTCTGGGGACAGAAGATTTCAGTCTCCAGGCTTCTGAATCCAGCAGCTTTCACCAGCACTAGAGAGTCATGGGGAGAAGCGAAGAGAGGAAAATACTGCTCTTCAGTTACCTGCAGCCTGGCCAGGTAACTGACACAGATTCCAATCTGATTCCGTGCTGCTGTTGGAGGACATGATCGTGGGCAGGTCTTTACTGCTAATCCTTGTTAGACCAATTCTGAAAGTGTAGGCTTAAAATGTCCCTTTGTTTGATCAAGCCCTGTCATCTCTCTAATAAGTCACTTGTTCTTTAGTATTTTACAGTATATAAATCAAAGAAAGAAGCACAGAGACCGTTGGGTTGGGGCTCTGACATCCACCTCTGTTCCATGTAAGTAGAAAAGAGTTTCCTTTGAGTTGTTAGTTTGGGAAAATACCTTGACCAGTGTCGTAACTGGCCTGCAGAGTCCAAGCCTCTAAGCACGGCACTTGATGCAAGACCTTTCCACTTTCACACTGGGACCAGCCAGGATTTTAGTCCCATGTGACACTGGAGTGTATGTTTGCCCCCTTGCAGGACTGTCCCTTCCCGCTTGGATTTTTTTCTACACATCCTTGTTGGAGTTGCCAAATGCAGGGACTGGGACCCAAGGGCCCCTGCTGGCGTTGAAGTTTTGGAGTTGCCAGGATATCAGCCCTGCTTGCTGTCTACTGCTAGTTGTAAATGCCATGGCAAAATGGCAGAAGTGAGTTCTTGGAAGGGATTTGAATGAGCCATGGGGGCGATTTGGTGAAGTAGTTTAAGGAGGGCCAGTAGTGTGGACGAATGCACAGACGTGAGTGGGAGAAGGGAACAAAGGCTGGCAGCAGTGGTTCAGGGAGGGGAATGAGTGATAGAGCCTGGAGTGCGAGGAGAAGGAGCTTGAACTTGATCCACAGGCACTGGGGAGCCAGTGGCAGGATTGTAACCAGTGTAATTCTTGTGTAAGCCAATTCCTTTGAGGCACCTTGGATCCTATTGCAGATCTCTAACACCTAGTGGGGGTGTCAGGTTTGCCCTGAAAAGCCTAGGCACTCCTCAAACTTGGGAGACTCTTCAGGCCCCCAGGGAAAGGTTGGGCGCCGTTTGGGGTGGGGATGATCATTTCAAAGGAACCTGCCTTGAAGATAGAGAAGCATCTTCAATCTCCTATAGCCTCCCCTCTAGAGCTTCCTGTGACTTTATTATAGGTCATTTGTTTAATCTGATTAGTCTTGTTACATGGGGAGGAGGGAGCTTGTGAGACAGTTGCTTAGCTGTGTGTAATGTGCTTTGGGGAAGGACATTAGGAATGTTACAATCCGACTTAGTGTATTCTCCCAGTGTATTGTCATTCCCCGCCTTCAACTGCTCTGTTAAACAGCTGCAACATCATCCCCCAGTCCCCTGAGATGGCTGCATTTCAGTGGAGGGTGGAGAACCTCTGTGCACCCCCACATCTACCTCGGAGGATTTGAGATCCAAGGGGGAAAAGGGCTAGAGCAGTGCAAAGTATAAGGGAGTTGCCCTTGGCAAGGAAAGATGAGATTCCTTTAGAGCTCTGGATGAGGAGTACTTGTGGCAATTTAGAGACTAACAAATTTATTTAAGCATAAGCTGTGTGCCAGATGCCTGCTGTGCTGGCCATGCTTCCTGGCTACCGCACAACCTAGTGAAAAATACCCCCCTCAGACTAGTTGTAAACACTCATTGTGCCTTTTTGAGAATATACTTTCAAGGCAGAAAGGTTCTCACATCTTCAGTGCTGCTGGCTTTAATGAGGGATTTCTTGCATGGGTAAAGGTACTGTGCATGTGGACAAGTTTGTGGATGGAAGCTGTTTGTGTTCTTCCCGTTTGCAGTGCATCTAATCTATGGGCCCTTGGATCCTGTGAATCCATATCCCGAGTTTCTTCAGCTCTACAGGTAAGTCTCATAGTCACATTTTAGGCACAGCTAGAGACTGATTTTTGATGCAGTGGCTGCTTTATTGAAAGCACTGGAAGTCACTGGTTGCTGTGGTAGTTTCAGCACTTCTCAAAACACCACTCATTTTAGATGACTTGAGTTTAGAATCCGAACTAATCATCCATTTGAAAATGACAGCATTAGACTCTTTTTCATCTCTGTATGAGATCATTAAACTTTTCAGTGTGTTTCAGGACGTATCCAAGAATAACTGGAAATCTCCCTGGGCTGAATGTGTATTTGTAAAGAGAATTTAAGTTAGTTTGGAAGAATCTGTCAAGGGCAGAGGAGAGTTCTAGTCTGGTGTGGATTGAGCTAAGGAATAGGTTTGGGGTAAAATATAGATCAATTACAAATTTAAGCTCCTGCTCAGACTAATGGCTAGGATTGTTCCAGCCCTCCCTATTAATGATTAAGTAAAACATGCCTGAAAAGTGTGAGACCTTTGCTATAAATTGAACGAGCAGCTCTCTTCCTGAGGTTGTTTCTGGCAGTGGATGTTTTAGTTGGGCTCTCACTCAGTCTAAGGGACATCGAACTACACGAGAACCCATATGGTGTATCATCAAACTACAACCCAGACTCTAAGGCAGTGGTTCTCAACCAGGGGTAGATGTACCCCTGTGGGTACATCAACTCATCTAGATATTTGCCTAGTTTTACAAACAGGCTACATAAAAAGCACTAGCCAAATGAGTACAAACTAGGGCTGTTGTTTAATCAGTTAACTCGCGATTAACTCAAAAAGATTAATCGCAGTTTTAATCGCACTGTTAAACAGAATAGAAATTGAAATTTATTAAATATTTTGGATGGTTTTTCTACATTTTTAAATGTATTGATTTGAATTACAATACAGAATACAGTGTACAGTGCTCACTTATTTATTTTTTTATTACAAATATTTGCACTGTAAAAAAAATTTCAATTCACCTAGTACAAGTACTGTAGTGCAGTCTCTTTATCATGAAAGTTGAACTTACAAACGTACAATGATGTACAAAAAAACTGCATTCAAAAACAAAACAATGTAAAACTTTAGAGCTTACAAGTCCGCTCAGTCCAACTTCAGCCAATCGCTCAGACAAATAAGTTTGTTTACACTTGCAAGAGATAATGCTGCTGCCTTCTTGTTTACAATGTCACCTGAAAGTGAGAATAGGCATTTGCATGGCCCTGTTGTAGCCAGTGTTGCAAGATATTTACGTGCCAGATGCGCTAAAGATTCATGCATCCATGCTGATGACGGGTTCTACTTGATAACGATTCAAAGCAGTGCAGACTGACGCATGTTCATTTTCATCATCAGAGTCAGATGCCACCTGCAAAAGGTTGATTTTTTTTTTTTTTTTTTTTGGTGGTGGTGGTTCAGGTTCTGTAGTTTCCACATCAGTGTTGCTCCACACCTCGTCCCTCTCAGATTTTGGAAGGCGCTTCAGAGTCTTAAACCTTGGGTCGAGTGCTGTAGCTCTCTATAGAAATCTCACATTGGTACCTTCTTCCTGTTTTGTCAAATCTGCAGTGAAAATGTTCTTAAAACGAACAACATGTGCTGGGTCATCATCTGAGACTGCTATACCATGAAATATATGGCAGAATGCGGGTAAAAGTGCAGGAGACATACAATTCTCCTCCAAGGAGTTCAGTCACTAAGTAATTAATGCATTATTTTTTTAACAATCATCATTAGCATGTCCTCTGGAACGGTGGCCGAAGCATGAAGGGGCATACAAATGTTTAATGTATCTGGCACGTAAATACCTTGCAACACTGGCTACAAAAGTGCCATGTGAACGCCCTGTTCTCACTTTCAGGTGACATTGTAAATAAGTGGGCAGCATTATCTCCTGTAAATGTAAACAAACTTGTTTGTCTTAGCGATTGGCTGAACAAGAAGTAGGACTGGGACTTGTAGGCTCTAAAGTTTTACATTGTTTTCTTTTTAGTTCAATTATGTAACAAAAAAATCTGTTTGTAAATTGCACTTTCACAATAGAGAATGCACTACAGTACTTGTATGAGGTGAATCGAAAAATACTATATCATTTTTACAGTGCAAATATTTGTAATAAAAATATAAAGTGAGCACTGTACACTTTGTATTCAGTACTGTAATTGAAATCAATATATTTAAAAATGTAGAAAACATCCAAAAATATTTAAAGAAATGGTATTCTATTGTTTAACAATGCGATTAATCGTGATTAATTTTTTTAATCGCTTGATAGCTCTAGTACAAACTAAAATGTAATGCAGACAATGACTTGTTTCTATGTCCCTACTATACACTGAAATGTCAGTACAGTATTTATATTCCAATTGATTTTTTTTGGCACAGTGCCTGGCAAAAAATACAGGAGCGATATAAAAGCATGCAAACTAAGTGGGCGATAATGTAATGCCCATGCTAATGGAGGTCCCCCTTTGGTTAAGAATGGCCACACAGGATCACAAGAGATCTTATTGCAGTTGTAGGGACCACTCCACCTCTTGGAGCAGTCTTGAAGCTTAGTCTGATTACTTGTCTACTCCACTCCCTGTACTTCAGATTTGGTGCCTGCCTCTCTATGGAGCATGCAGTTACTAGTTGTTGCATTCTTTCAACAGGAAAGTGCTTCCTATGTCTACAGTCTCTGTTCTGGATGACCACATTAGCCACTATCCACAGCTTGAAGATCCTATGGGCTTCCTGAATGCATATTTGAACTTCATCAACTCCTTCTGAGCAGCAACGTGGTCTTTCCCTCTCATGCTTTGGCTCAGTGTTGTTTACTTTGAGCCAGGGTGCTTTTATTTCCAGACCTGACACTTAACTTTCCTGTTCTGTGCAGAGTGATCTTTGGGTATGTTAGACTACTGTATATGTGTAAGGAACTGAACCTTTGAACACTGGGAAGGATTAACCTAAAGGGAGGCGTGAAAGACAATGTGCACATCCAAGGGAAGTTACAGGATACGGATAGTAGTTCCTAGGCCAGAGGGCACAGTTGGGAACTAGTGGTGGGGTGAAGGAGGGGTGGCACTGCTAATCATGCTATTCCAAGACTCCTTCCCTGTCCTTGGGGCCAGAAGCAGCCCAGCCTATCCCAGGAAGCCAGTACCCCATTTACAACCACATGCCACTTAGTTTGTTTCCAGAACAGTAAGCAGCACAGTAGATCTTTCTCTTCTCTGAAAGTGCATTTAACTGAGCTACTCTATAGACAAGCTTTAAAATGGGAAAATACCTACATTATAAAGATGTGAACTAGTAATTAGTTGTCAGGCCTTGTTACCTAATTCTTCCTTTGAAGGGCTTGTCTACACATTGACTATACTGCTCTAGTTAGGGCAGCAAAATCCCCCTCTTGTGAATAGTTATACTGTGATGTGAGTGCTCATCTTGGTAGAACTGTCTACAGAAGGGCTTTTACTAGCACAGCATCTCCCCTGACTAACCCTGTTGTGCCAGTAAAATGTAAGTGTGGAACAGTCCTAAAAGGCAAGTTTCCTTAACCACCTAACCTCTATTATTAGTACTCAACTCCATAATGCAATAACAAGGTGCAAATTAAAATGCATTGTAGCCTCACCAGTGTGTCTTCGAAGAGATGTGCTCTACTGTAGCATACAGTGCCAGAATCAGCCTGAAGCATAAAGTCAAGAGGGCTCTTTACTTGAAGTGTTATTTTCAGATAAATTGTGTAGTATACACATAGCTTAACAATCCTAAAATGATTGCCAATATTAAAGCAATAACTACCTAAAACCACAGGGAATTATAAGATATTAAAAACAAGTTTAAAAAAACCTGAAGTACTGGCTATGCTGCATATAGAGACTTTATGAGACCTCATACTACGGAAAGTAGTATCTTTCCTAAAGAGTTGCAAGTCCTCCCCTTAAAAGGGACTGTATTTAACTCAATTTTAGGCTAAAGGGTCAGAAAGAAGGTTCAGAACTAAAGTCATGTCATACTTCTAAACTTTAGTTATTTGTTCCAACATTGAGGTTGTATGGCTTTCACACAGCACCAGAGGCAGAAACATTACAAAATTGATTGTAAAGCCAAGTTGGCAGGGGGACTGAGAACCACTGCTTTTTGCAACTGACTAGATTTCTAGTTTCTAGCATCCCACCAAGAGGAAAGGTTTCCAATATGGGCTGCTTGTGCTGTACTGAACTGAGGTTTGTCAACCCAGCTCGCAGAGTTATTCTCCCAAGTGATCAACAATACTATACTATCAGTTGCTATGGCAAAACTTTTAAAGATTCTATTTTATTAGCAACAATTCAACTAAAATTCCGCAACTGGAATGATCAATGTTTATTTTCTGTTAATAAAAATCTGTTTTGACAAAAGTCTGATTCCAGTTTGTTTTTATCCCCTACCAAGTCTTGTAAGGTCCACAGTTGCAATCAGTCAGAGGAACATATAACTGATGACCAGGGTGGGGGTGAGACCCAGCATTAAGTGTATGTTACAGAGACGAGCCAGAGCTGCCATTACTGCAACCTCATACAAAATGACAAAGAATAAAAACTCCATGCAGAAGGTCAGACAGGACAGAGTCAGGCTGTTTGAGATCCTTGAGGTGAAATTCCCCTGCAGGTATTAAAAATAGCATGACTTAGCCTACAGAGGCCAAGATGACATCTACTGGTGTTTCATCCTTGCTCCTGACAGTCACCTGCATGGTCACTCCATCTCCTAATGCCAGCCTGGATCTCACCAGCACATCATAGCCACCTCTGTACACACCTGGGGAGAAAGAGCAGGATTTTGCAGAGTAGATTAACAGTGAAATAGCTCCAGTAGTTACCCTTCAGTGACTCAAAGCCCAACCTGTGAACCTGACAGCTGTACAGCCGCAGCCTAGATAATGCAAGAATTAGTTAAAGCTGCAGCCACCTACAGAATGGAGCACATGCTTTCAGCCAAGTAACAAGATTCAGACAGACACCCTCCTTAAAGACTGCTAATGTCAAATAGATTCAGGTTTAAGATGCGTGACACAGTGGATTAAACACAGGACTAGCACCTGAAGCCCAGGCCACTCCAAAGAGGTAGTGATCATTCCTGCTACATGCCCATAAGCAGAGCTGCTCTGGGTTCCAAGCCACAGCTGAGAAAGGAAGAGCCTGTCAGGACTCACTGTAGTCTTTCCTCCTACTGCTGTGCCCCTAGAGACATTAAAGCAACCTTGGAGAATTACCCTTTTCCCTAAGGGTTAGGGCTCCACGCACAGAACTATGGATTGTGTTCCAAACCCTATTTAATAGTCACTGTCTATACAAACTTCCACTGGAGGCACTAGGAATTCTGTACACAGAGCAGATACAGAATCTGACCCCTTACAACTAGATACTATAGTTTTAATGCAATTTTGTATTTTACTGTTAATAGAATAAGACAGAGTAGAAATAAGCTGTCTTTCCAATTTCATGGATCACCAAATGCAAGTGCCTGGAGTGGTAGGGCAGGTTTCTAGTGAGCAAGAAGGTGCACTAGGAAACAAGTGCTCTGGGATGTTCTGGCCTGCCCCTGGAGATGGGTAGGGAGCTTAGTTTAAGCATCTTGGCTGCAGGTCCTTTCACAAAGGGGTTTAATACACCCTGCTGACAAAAAGCAGCAAGGAAAGAAAGGATGGAAAGGTCTAGTCTGAGGTGCACCTAACACAGCATCCTGTAAAGGCAACATGCTGTTGTACATAGTTCTGTAATCCATTCTCTCTCCGTATTTGAAAACACAATCTCTTGGCCCCCAGGAAATTGCAGTGTAATAAGTTTGTGTTGCAGAGGAGTATGGAAACAAACCCATCAGTGGTGGATGCTTACCAGCTAGATACAGCGTGTGGGAATTTTTGTTCTCTGGCACTTTATCGGACCTCTCACATGGCTGCATGCCCAGGAACTTGATGATGTTACCGACAGCTTCTGCATTGAGATTTAAAGAGAAAAAAAGGTTATTTTCACATAGTCTGTTTACATTTTGATGCCAGGTTTCCTATGAAACTTTAATTCACAGTTAGAGAACATGTTCTGAGCATGACTTAGGGTTTAACCAATCTAGCTCATTAACTGGAGTGCGAGGCCTCAGGGACCTGCCAACCTTTCCTTACCTCTTCCCCCATCACAAATAGTCACTGAAGAGTGCAACTTTCCACCAAGCCACTACTTTTCAGAGGGGAGGTGCAGTTTCCAAACCCATCACGGCAGCACACAGCCATGCAGCTGCCACACTCTGGGTACTCAAATTTACCAGGCCCCAGAAGGATCTCTCTAAACTAGCATAAAAAGCCTTTCCCCGAACACCGCACACATTGTTTCCACAGCTGGGCAGAGTCCCATCTGGGTTACCAGGGGGAGAAGGGATCATCTCACCATCAAGGGTTTTAATTGAACTGAGAGCAAAGGTTTCCTCTTTCTCAAAGTCATCGCCTACTTCTTCCCAGGCAGCTGCGAAGTTGGGCTTTAGGACCTTCTGAATATGATCTGACACGGTTACCTCCAGATCTTCCAGCTGGCAGAGAAACGAGGGAGAATTTAGGCTGCATAGAATCACACACAAAAGGATCTTCACCTTATGGTACGTCTAACACTTGGAGCTGGAGGTGTAATTTCCATCTTGGGCAGATGTACTCACGCTAGCTCAGCTCGAGCTAGTGCACTAAAAACAGCAATGCTGCCTGAGAAGGGTCTCAGTTGGGACTGTACTCAGGGCGGCAAGCCCATCCTGCTGCTCACACCACCACAGCAACACTTTATTTTTACCACACTAGCTTGACCAGAGTTAACGCACATACATCTATGCAGCTGCAACTGTCACCTCCAGCTTGAAGTGCAGACATACGCTTACAGAGCGGGGAGGAAGACAGCAGCATAGGCTATAGTTATGACTGGTACAGCCCCAGTACACTAGACTCATTTCACAGGATAGCTGCAGTTTAACATGTGCATGAAAGCCCTAGAAAGTAGAGGCAAAATAATGCTCATGGGATTTATTAGCAAGGCTTAAGACTTTTAAAACAAATGTGAGTGAAATGAGCTCCCTAGTAGAGGTGCCATCCAAGAAGCATGCTCAATTACTACAACTGGAGGTCACATTCTAGATCCTATGATAAATCTAGGGGAAGTTACCTTGCAAGAAGCCAAGAGCACAAGGGAAGACTGAGGAGTTACTGTGTATGTCAACACATGCACCTCGCTGAACAGAGGAGTTACTGTGTATGCCAACACATGCACCTCGCTGAACAGAGTTAAGCCACAGGGAGCTTCTAATCTAGAATGTAGACATGACACAAGAAAGAGTGCAGGCAAACAAAGTAGGGGAGGGGAGGGTTGGACAGGGTCCCACAAATAAGATTAAAGTACACAAATGGAGTCACCGCACGAAGATTTGGCAGAAGCGAGGTTTTAGGAGGGATCTGAACAAGGCAAAGGGTGAACAGCTGGAACGATTTTGGGACGCGTTCCAGGCAGGAGGGTAGAAGAAAAGAGTGGGGGGGCAGGGAAGACACAAAAGGAGACTACGGCAGAACGATGAGAATCCCACAGGGACAGGAAGACACGTACACGTTAGGTGCAGCAAACAAGACTGAACTTACCACATATTCATCGTCATAGCCATCATCCTCTGGCACCCCTGTGTTTGGGTTGCAGTCTCGGACTGTAAATTTCATTGTGCAGCTGAAAGTACAAGCGACTGGGAAAAGGGGAGAGAATCAAGAGCACGTAATTTCTTTGGTCTAAACGGAGTGCTGAAGCTCTCCTTTCCCATAAAGGGAATAGCAATAGCACCATACCGATGATCTCCTCCCCAAGATACAGATGAAGCAGGTTCCCCAGGTAGCCTGGGAATTAACACCACAATTTAAAGAGAGAGAGAGTTTATTGGGGAATTTTGCACTAAATTTAGGGTGAGGGAAGTTTCCCAGACAGGGAATATGCAGAAATTAAAGCATACTGGGACCAGCCAATGCCCTTTAAGACTTTGGAGTCAGATCAGATAGGTGTTCATAGCCATTAGAAACCGCTGCAATGTTCTCTTGCCATACAGACTATGATCTAGAAACCTGAACCCCACTTCAGTGCTCCAGCCTAATTCTAAAACTTCCTAACGACATCAAAGTGCAACAAAAAATCCAGCCCCAAATACAAATATTTAACCAAGTTAAACTAACCTCAAGCCCAGTGAGATTTTTAATATGAATGAAAGGCAAAAAACAGCCTCTTCTACCCTGGAAGAAAATTCTCTCAATCCCATAAATCAATGATTTTAACCTAGTGTATGGGACAGAGAACTGCACTAGGAAAACATCTCAATCTCTTTTACACCTGGAGATACTGCGAGGCCCATCTTACTGGCCATGTTTTCATTTGAATTAGTGTTACGAGCCCTGTCACTACAACTCTATGTCTAATACATCTGATGAAAGAGGGGATGCTAATCTGGTTCATTGATCAATAAGGTAATTAGAAAAACTGATACATTCAGTTCATAAAACAAGGGAACAGGGGGTTGGGTGGAAATAAGGAATCAATTTGGGTTGGTGATGTGAAAACGTCTTGATAGAAAGACACAGCAGATGTGTAAATAATTAACCTTGTATCGTTTGTAATTTGTTAAACTGTTTTTCTTTCTGTTTGGAATGGGCCACATAGGGCATCGCCACCATTTTGGGCGCCAACAGGACAATGGGTGGAGCTAAGACGGGGGTGGGGCCTGTTATGCTGAGACATACAGTGACTGCATTGATCACAAACTTCTTTGAGAATAGGAGTGAACACACCGTTGAATTAATGCAACGGTCAGAATGAGTTAACCAGAAGCCCTCCACCTAAGACCGGGGTTGTAAACGCACCCAGGAGTTCCGACAGAGGGCTTTTGCTGAGAATTGGTTGTGTTGTGGTGTGGTGTGGAGTGGTGTGGTGTGTGCGAGAGAGAGAGCGCGAGCGAGTGCAGAACAGACAGACCAGAGAGAGAGCGCGATGTAGCCATACGGAAGGAAAGCACAGCATCTGACCCCGGAAAAAACCTGGGTAGAGGTTTGTGGGTCAGGGGGATGTGGGCAGGCTGAAAGAGTGTTCTTGGTGCTGCGAGCAAAGGAAGCTGTTTCGTGCCATTTGATTCCTTCTGCATTCAGAGACGCAGGGCTTTGTACATTCTTTGTAAATAAACAAAACTGTGTCAAAGAAATACCTAGCCACAATTTCTACTCCCAGCATTCCCCAGGGCCCCAAACTCTGGCTAGCTGCTCAGGTCGAAAAGGGGCAACATTAGGCTGATTCTGCTCCTGTGTTTAGTTTCAGGCAGTGTCCATATTTTCCAGTTTGCTGCTTTGATAACCTCAAGGCAACAACAAGGAAACAAACTCAGTTTCCCCTTATTATTAACTGCATTGCTCCACCTCCTTTTACATGTTTTTCTTTCAATCATCCAGTGTAGTTGTATGTATTTCAAAGTGTATATATTATTTTGACTAACTGTAGATCCTACACAAACACTGGTGACACTGACACTTGAAAACAAAAACAAAACAATGGTAGAATCTAACATACAAGACCTACAAAATTAACACATTCAATGCAAATCCTAAGCACCTAGCCAGCGTTCCTTTGAGAATTCATTCAAGTGGCCGACACATGCAAAACATTATCCTTCCATTTGGTACCTGCAGTGGGATCATCCTGGGGCAGTCGGACGAGAGTGTAACACATGCCCGGCTGGTTGTAAGAAAGGCTGGCTGCTGGGATAGAGCGAATCACATCGTAAGCATCCGACGGTTCCATCTGCACAGTGACCCTCTCTAGTAACTGGTCATTTAGGGTGTTTGTGCAGTCGAACTGCAAGAGTGAAGCATAAAAAGGCGGGGACTTGAGCGCAGCAAACACTTTTCTATTAAAGATTTTCTGAAATCAGCTACCGTATTGCCGTAAACATGGAGAACATCCCACCTCATTACCAATCATGCTCTCTGTGGTCCTGATGGCAGGGAGAACTCTACAGACTGACTCATGTCTCCCGCACTCTTGATTTTCAGGACAAGACTACTCTTCACTAGCCTAGAAGCAGAAGACTGGAGGTCTCCAGGTGTCACAAATACTCAATTTGGTCACCACTACAGCTCCCACTAGGACAGGATGTTCTTCCCCAGCGCACACAATGCATTTATGGAATACGCAGTCTCTGAAGAGTCCCTTTGGAACGCCAGCAAATGTACTTGTCTTACCTGGAAAACCATATGATTAGTGAACACGTGCTTCGTACAGCAAACAAAGTATTCTGTTTCTGCCTCTGTAAGCTGAACTGGCTCAGATGACTTGAATAAGGGACCCAAGCTTTTAAATTCGGGAATGGCAGCCAGTTGCTCTGCACAGAAACAGATGAACGGTGTTAGACGCCTTTGGATGACAGGTTTGAGAATCGCCTCCTTCCCTACCAGTGGTAAAACACTTAGCACATCCACACCTCCCTCCACAGGTCTTTGAGCATTAGAGCAGCGGTGCCCACACTTTTCCTCTCACGTCCCCCATTCCCTCAGTAATGGCATGTGTCCATACCTGCCCAGGCCAGAAATGGAGTTGCAGCCAGGCTGGGAATGGAGCCACAGCCAGGGGCAGAGAGCGGGGGCCAGTGGCCGAGCTGCAGCCAGGAGTGGGGCCGCAGCTGGGGCCACAGCTACGACCGGGAGCTAGAGGGCAGGGCTGGAGCGGAGCTGGGGGGGCTCCCTCCGGGCACTCCTTCCCGCCCACGAGGGCTGACCTGGGCCCTGCTGTGCCCCCCGAAATGTCCCTCTGTACCCCCCCTAGGTGGGCATGCCCCACAGTTTGGGGACCACTGCATTGGAGACCCCATTGATCCCCCCTTCCCATACCTTGGAATATGTCGTGGCGGGACGGAGCAATTTTCTCAGGCTTGCTGGCCACTAGTGCAATTTCTGCAAGAAGAGAAGCAAAGATACTGCGTTGTAAAGCTCCTCAGACTCCTTTCAGGCCCCATTAAATCTCCCCTACAGATTCATGAAACAGTCATGTGTTCCACACATTTTACTGCATGTTGTTTCTCATCCAATTTTTTGCATACACTAATCAAAGCATCACCTCTTCTCCTCACAATCTGCGACCTCCCAAGAGAAGAGAGATTAATGAATAATGGTAACAGATCCCCACCTTCAGTCAGGAATTAAACGCTGTTGCCATCACCAAACATATTAGGAATGCAGGTCTGACTTTGATTCCACGACTACTCCAGCTATTGGGCATAATACAGCAGCGGAGCTATGTTGTATGAATACAGTATTGCGTACGACAGGCTACCATTTCTCATACGGCACCAGCTAACTATTTACTCTGGTCTCAGGAGACCATATCATTAATCTGATTCCAAATCATTCATTTCCCCCAGCCTCCAAGATCTAATGGATAGCACGAAAGAATTATATAAATGTCATTTCTAAAACACTGGGAGATCAGAAATGCGTCAGGCATGAAACAGAAAACTGACAAAACCATTTTAAATATTTTTGGTTTATATAGCTCTTCTAATCTGCAAAGATCCAGAAGCTGTTCATAAATTACACACACAGCAGCTCGGATGTGCATGCACCTCAGGGGTAGAAGGCAGCAGCAAACACTGCACTAGAGTAAGAGAGAGGAATCTGGGCCAAAGACGCTGGGGCAGGCAAGCCACTTCTTCTTATGGAAAATGCCCTGCTCTCAAATGTCAAGGAGACGCAAACAGGACCGCATCAGACCAAACACACTAGGAGTTAGGTGGTATTAAATGTATCCGTCTCCAAAGGGTGATGGCTGTGCTGACCCCGCTGTGATTGGAGCACGCAACTTCGGGAAGTCCCCCAGTATTGGGATCATAACCTTGATGCTTGGTCTATGAAGCCAGCCCCTTCTCTAGTAGGTGCTACTTAAAGGAAGCCTGAATATTACCTGCTTTCTGTTCAAAGATTGGTGCAGTAGCTAATGGAACTGTCTTCATGTCAAAAGGCTTGTCAGAAGGCTCAAGTGTGTACTGGTGCAGGGCCTTCTCCATCCCAGGAACGGAGACTGTCAATCCTGCAAAATACAGGTGATCAATACAAAGGGTGTCTGCTTCACATTAGAAACTACAAGGTCCAGGGAGGAAGCAGAACATACAGTGCTCACTACACTGGTAAGAATGTAGGGCTGTCTGCTTAACTGGAAGCTGCAGAACAGTCCCAGAGTTTGATCATCAGGCCTGTGTCTCAACTACCTCTCTTCTGAAACCACACAAGGAAAGCTTTAGAAAGAGCTTAAAGCTCCTCTACATCCTTTCAGTTGGTTTGTGTCAGTGAGTTGGATGCATGGAACAGCCTGGCACAAATACAATCTGGGTTTAGTTTAAAAGAAAATGGCAAAAAGCATTTTTTAACCCCATGGTGAGCAGAGCACTGAAAATGCCTTCAGGTGTTAAAGAGCTTCAAAAGTCTGCTCTGAACAAGGCAGTGACAGAAAACTGGCGCACAGAGGGCACCTGAGGACTGAAAGGGTTGACATACAGCATGAATACATCCTCCTAGGAGTGGCAAACTGTTCTGAAAATACACTGTGTCTTAATAATAAACCCTTTGCGCATATAACATTTCATCCAGGGACCTCAAAGCACTTTACAGCAAACCACCAGTCCCCTAACCAAGATCGCCATTTCACCTTACTTGCTGTAAAATGGGGGATAAGGGCATTGTCCAAAGTCACACAGCACAGCAGTGCTGGAAACAGAACCCAGGAGTCCTGACTACCACTGCCTATGCTCTAGCCACTAGACAATACTCCCTCCGCAACTATACATTATGTAGTATTCAGATACTTTACTCAGAAGTGTTAATGCCACATAGTGTTTGGCTCTGTTCATTCCAGGCATCCTGAATGAAGTTATCAAGGCTGCGTTGGAAATGACTGCTATTTGTAATGGAATCAACCCAGAAGATGATACAACTGTAACATACAAGAAGAAAAGTGCAATTTTCTAGGATGAGCAGTGCTGTGTTCACTTCCATTACCAACCATTAAAGATATAGGCAGCGTTCAGTGCAATCTGTCTCTGCTGCAGCACGTTTAGGTAGAATGTTGCTCTGTCACGAACTTCATCATCGCTGTCCATCATACACCTGTTTGGGGAATGAGCGCGTTGGGGTCAAAATGGTTCAAAAAACCAGCACTATGGAAGCAACTCTGCGCTTGATACTGCAATGCTAGCCTAACCCCTCTGATGGATTTACAGATTACCCTCACAATATTATAGCTGTGATCTATGTAAATACTCCATGCCATCCCCCATCTCTAAAATAATAAAATCCAAGTCTGTTTAGCATAGTAATTCACTTGGCTTTCTTGTGCACACAAGAGTCTTCTCCATTACGTATACGGCAGTCAGTTAAAGCGTTCATACTCAAGTGCAACGTATCAAAGGAACTGAGGAGATCACCAATTGGGTTGTTACCCTGTAAACCTGGGTCAGGTTACATAGAGAACACACCTGCAGCTCATATTTTGGGGCTACTGATTCTGACAGGGGTTTGTAGCTGAGGCCTGGCCTGACATGAATAATTAACACATGGAGGGAGGCCTCATTTTTTGGAAGATAGAATTAGGGACATAAATGAATCATTAGGTTGAAAACAGAATGTTTATGCTACATAAGATAAGTAAATAGGTCAGTAGGCTAAGTTGACAGAATGTCTGAGCCAGCTAAGATAAGAGGGAGAACACGCAGTGAATTATTTAATATGAAATAGATAAGTCATGTAGAGATTAGGTAAAGAGGAAGTCGAACCATGGTCAATGCGTGGACAACACATGGTGAACAGGGATTGGTTCCTGCAAAGTAATCAAGCCAATCCAAAAATGTGTGATGCAACGTGAGGTGTAATGTATAAAAAGGGAGAAGGTTTCTGTATAACTTTGGAGCTGTGATGTACCCTGCATCCATCCCCCCTGCGTTTGAGTCTGGTCAACTCAGCATAGCACTGCTGTATGCCAAACAATGATATCTGAGAGATGAAGGCTGGAGTCAAACTGAGTTCTTGGGAAGCCGAGCAGAAAGAGGGAATCCCAACAGGGTTTTTAAAAGCTTTATTGTCAGATACATGAACCAAATCAGAGGGCACAGAAAGGGGACACGTACATCAACATGGCCATCTAGTCATCTTTTAACAAGAATTCAGTTCTAGGTAGATTACAATTACTACTATACACACATGGTACCTTTCACCCCACAAGACCCCAAAGCACATTAATTACCCATTGAATCACTGCCCACCACTGAAGTGAAACATGGCAATTGTTTTAAAATGCACAGCAGTGCTACATACGTGTAGGTGACTGTCTCCAAGTACGACTGACTGTACAGAGAGTATTAAGGAGGCTGGATGGTTTTACTGGAAAATGCACAGGACTGGGAGCCTGGAACACCTGAGTTCCAATCCTAGCAGTCACTATTTGGCCTTGGGCATGTTACTTAACCTAACAGAAAAGTGAGTTAATACCTATTGCTTCATGGGGCACGAGAGCAAAAACATTTGTAAGTCACCCCCTCGGTGTACTACCCACAATGGAATGTTTTAAGAACAAGTTAAACACCCTTACTTTTCATAAAAGAACCACAAGTTTACATGACTCCAAATGGTCAGGACCTGTTTTGAGAGTCACTCAAAACACTACAACTTTGGTGTCCCAGTGTTCCCTAGCACCAGGAGTGACTCAAAGGGAATAATGCCACCTACCGACTCCATCTCCTGTTCAGCATATTGGTTCACTTCTATTCAACTAGTGACTTGGCTTGACCCTATTTAGAGTATTAAAGAACAAAGCACATGCACTGGCATTTACTCTGCTCACCTCTGCAAAAGCACCAGGATGCTTGGAAGAAGGCTCTCATTCTGGGCCCCAAACTTCGCTAATGCACTCACAGCAGCTGGATGAGAAAACAAAGGGGTAGGAAAGGTGTTCAATCTGTAGCCAGAAGTCTATTCCGAAACATGCACAGAGGATTTTTAAAGCAAGCATGTATGCGATTGTCCTGAAGCTACAATCAGGGAGGTTTCTCTTAAAATCTGTGCCTCACCAATTGTAGACTCTCACACAAGTGGAGAAACTGCCTTTTAATTCTATTTAAAGGATGTTTCTTCAATACTACCGTAAAAGGCACCTGGCCAACAACCCTGGGGCCTGTCCTTCAGTAACAGAAGAGGGACAAGATGGGCAGCACCAGTCCAATCTTCCTCTGCATCATACCCCACCACACCACTTTGCCTCAAAACACTGCTAGATAATTCTTCCAGAACTGAGGATAGTTCAGTCTCCATAGCACATTCCAATCCTTGGCTGTTCTGGCACTTGCCGTCATGGGTGCAAATACACACATGCCCATTAGAAAGTACACTGAAGCAAGCTCATTTTCCATAGGTGGCAGTGACTTTCCTCGCTATTGACCTGGGCCACCAGATTGGAACCAATGACTTCAAGATGAAAGGCTCTGTATCCCAATACCTATCCCCTAAAGCAGCCAGTCCAAGCGAATAAAAAAACCCCAACTTAATTTGACTTCAACTCTGGCTTTGAGGGAGCTTTATATATGCAAAAGGGAGAATTTAGCTCTTTTATTAAATTTCACTTTTGAAGATCCTTCTGACAGAAAGATCTGTGGCTACTATGCTGAAGTTTCTGTACAACAGATCTGTGTTGGGGTGTTCAACCCACACAAGGCTTAATGGGGTGAAGGTCGCTAGCTGTGTCAATGAACTGCCCAGGCTGCACCTGGAGGAGGAACCTGGGAGCAGGGAATTAAGACAAGAGGCTCAGCTGGACTGGAAGAGGAGGAATCTGTATAAAGCCCAGGAGCTGAAAGCAGAAAGAGGCTGTAGGGGGGTAGTCTGCAGTCACTCCCACGGTGAAGGGAGGTGTTTGGGGGTATAGAGAGTAGCCTACAGTCACTCCCTGGGAGGAGGGAGTTTGGACTGGCAAACCCAGGGAAGGGGGAGAGCCAGAAAGGTAGGAAAAGCTCAGGGGAAATGCAGCAAGATACGGGTTAGGGCCGACCTTGGCTGCTGCTGAGAGAGCCCCTGAGCTGGAACCCGGCGTAGAGGGCGGGCCCAGGTTCCCCTGCCAGCCACTGAGGGAGTGGCACTAAGAGGCAGTGAATGGGAAGACTGCCCAGGATTGCTGGAGAAAGACTTTGGTATCCCGGAAGGGGAAAATACGTGAAGTGACCTGGCCGGAGGGCTGAGTCATGAAGAGGCAGCAGCCGCCCATGGAGCGAGAGTGGGGCTGCAGACCCAGAGAGAGAGAGGCAGAGGACGGCATGCAAATGCAGGTAGGGGCATCAACCAGGCAAGCTATTCCCCAGAGTGACCAGGAAGGGGCGCCATTCTAGCAATGAGTGACACACCCCATGACAAGGTCTTTATGGCTCCCATCGGATGCTGCGTATCTGGTCCCAGGCCTCAGTGCTAAAACAATGCCACTCAGAACAGGATTCAATACAATACAATCTGTTTCACAACAGAAATGTAAGCTCAATTTTAATTCCCCTTCCTAACATACTAACTCCCCTACTGGCTCAGAGTGAGGTGATCTAAGGGGTAGGAGTATATCCCACTCTGATCTGATTGTGGAGAGGGGAAGGTCAACTGCCTTTAAAAACACAGTCTAACGATTCTCTGTGGGGGAAAGGAGTGCAACAGATTTCAGAGGAGAGTTCTTAGAAGAAAAATCACTTTTCCATAGAAACAAGAGACACATACTTCAAGTCCTGAATAGCTCGGCTTTTATGATGCCAAGTCTGACCTGTACAGACTCATGCATCAACTTAAAAGAGTAACATTTCTCCTCCTTACTCATTGTCACTACTCTACCTTTGACATTTATGCTCACAAGGGAAGAGCCAGAAG